GGGGGGGGGGGGGGGAAGGAGGTTGAGAGGGAGGCAAAGAAGAAAAAATAGAAGCTTTTTCAAAAGAAACTGACAGCCGTCGCGCTAAGCTCCCATCCTCTTAGCCCCAGGACACAGCTACCCACCGGCTTCGATCTGGGTAGGTGCCGCCGCCATCCTTTTCCCGAGGGGGTTTGGGGGATTTGCTCCAGAGGGGCTGGCGGGGGCGGGTGGGGATGCTGCCTCTATTGTGGTGAAGCCCCCATGCCCAGGAGTCCCGCCGCTTCCGCCGCACTCCTCGTCCCAGTTTCGGTCTCTCTCGGATTCATCGCATCACGTTTCGACCCATAGATATTCTAGCCCAAGAGCTGAGGAGGCGGAGGAGGAAGGAGAGGGAGAGAGAGAAGAGGAGGGAGGAGCCGAAGTGGCGGAGGGGTGGGCGGGGGCAAAGGGGGTGGGGAGAGGGGAGGGTAAAAACTGTGAGAGGGACTTGCAGCGCTCATTGTTCACCGCCAGAGGCACTAACGCATCCTCCAGTCCTCAGCTCTCCAATACAGCCGACAGTTACCTAGCTACCGCTCCCGGAAGGAAGGGGAGGTGCTAACTGATGGCAGACTCTCTGGCAGCTACCGTAGAACTCAGTGGTGACGTTCCCTTCAGCGAGTTCCAGAGTGGTTACCCTTCCTGTGAGGGCAGTCGGGCCCTTTCCTATTGAGGACTTTTCCCTCTGGCGTGGTCGTGAGGAACATGTGAGGAGCCGACTTGATTCAGCTGCTTTCTTCGATTCCCTCCCGGCACTGATGAGGCTTTGGTTTTTTTGTCTCTCTTCCACCGAAAGGAGGCTAGCCACTAAAGGATCTCGTGACTGAGAAAGAAAAGGAGTCCCTACTTCGTTGTCACTTGTTTCTCTTTAAAATGATTTTTGTACCAGATGAAAATGCTGTGAACTTAGCAGTCCAGAGGGCAGGACTCATATTGTTATAGAGAAAGAGCAGCTCTCAAAACGTCCCCGGATTCTGATAAATTTTCAGGAAGAATTTGCTGTCAGACATGAAGCATTTTATTTTTTCCCCTTCTGAATGTGTAACACATACCATATCTGTCCCCTTCCTATAGGATAATTTTCAACTGTGTCTTCAAATACTGTCAAAATATTTTACATTAACCATGGATTTTTATGTATTATTGCATATCTGTATGCAAGGTAGTTTTCTACAGGTTTGGGGCAACTTTCGTTATTTAATATATAACCCCTAACTCTTAGTACAGTACCGACTTTCAGTAGTTGATTACTGAAATCTTAAGTGATCAAAGGATTTGTAGAGTAATTGACACACATATAGTGAACAGTCTACTTCCCTACTTTCCCTCGCGTAATATATTCCCACCTCAAGCCCTGACCAAAAAGTAATTAATAGAAGCTGAACCTGATGAAACCAGAAATGCTGTTTAAACTGCATGTACTGTTTACACTGAAATATTCAGATTTGAAGGTTCACCTTTTAAGGTTAGGGCTGGACTCTTAGGAATTTGATTTCCTCACTCAGAGTTCAGCCATTGACCACAGTGTTCCTAGAATTGCATTATGCTGGCATAAACTTAGCCTAGGTTGGTTAGTTCTCACTCTGGTCATTATTTTCCCCTCAGAAAGAAAGAACCACACAAGATGTGATATGATAGGTCTATCTTTGGTCATTATGCTGTAGTACTTGATAAGACAAATGCCGTTAACTGAAAAATATTAGATATTGAAAAGACCTATAAGCCCTAGATAACTCATTGCAAGTAGCTTAGCAAAACACCAGACTAAATATATTTTACAGATCAAGTATAATATATACAACAGTTACCATTAAGCTATTACAATGTACTAAGCACTTTACATATTTTACCTCATTTAATCTTTATAATGACCCTAGGAGGTAGTTTCTATTGTTATCCACATTTTACAAGTTATAAAAATGTCTATATGACTTTGGACAACTCACTGAAATTCTGTGAACCTTATTCCTCATCTATAAAATGTAATAGTACTTGCCATGCCCACTTCACAGTAATTGCTGTAAAAGTCATGTGAATATGTTTGTGTCATATTTCAAACTGTATAGGGCATTGTTATTTCAGTGATCGCTTCAGTTTCAGTCGGGTGCAATCAGGAGAGAAAACACAGTAATTTAAATAGAGAAAGTTTAAGGTACAGAATTATTAACAATAACAGGAGATTGGAGTAATGAGGAATTACCTAGTAAGGTGTAAAGAGAACTCTAAAGAATATAGGAATAGAAGACATAATATGTAATATAATAGCAGATAGTAATAGCCACTAACCCTAGAGCTGAGAGTACTCTCAATCCCTATTGCCCACCCAGGGCTAAGATCCAGACCTTGCTGGAGAGGACACAGCCAACCAAGGCTCATTCAATGGCAGGAAAGATGCTGTGGTACCTTGCTGAAACTCCAACTTCTGGAAGTTTCTAGAAGCCTGCCTTATGGAATCAACCCTCTAGGGTACCTGGGAAATAATGTTCACAGGGAAATGTCTCACCAGAGGCACGTTACTACAAAACCACTAGAGGCAAGGTGCCAGGGGAGGCGGCTGGGTGCTACCAAAAGCATGCACCACAGGAGCTAGGCACTAGAGAAAGCTGCACAAGCTGCAGGAGCATCCTACTCCATAAGCACTCCAGAAGTGGGACACAAAACCTTTTCTTCTTATACTGTATTTCCAGTGTGCTCTACTGAGAAAGCTTCAGTTCTTGCTGACCAAAGGAAAAATATTTAGATAGCCCAGATCCATTTTCGTAGAGCAGTCAATAATGGAGAGTTTGGAGATGATGAGCAACAAATCAATAAACTGGCACAAATTCCCTACTGTTTTCTTGACTATAAGGACTAGGTTGATAAAAGGAAAGTTATTAAAATGTGTGTGTTAACATAAAAGTGTTCATTTGTTCGTTAGGATAAGCCGAATGCTTTGAATTATTTTCTTGCAATTAAAATCACCAGTCTTAACCCTGTGGCCAAAGGCTTAATTGGGAGGGAAAGGAAATTTTTATAAGCTAAAGCAAATATTGATTTACATAGAAAAAATCAGGAATGTTTACCTGATAGGTATTAGTTTCCTAGGACTGCCATAACAAATTACCACAAACTGGGTGGTTTAAAATAAGGGAAAGTTTTTTGTCACAGTTCTGGAGGCCAGAAGTCTGAAATCAAACTGTCGCCAGGCCAGAATTCCTTCAAAGTCTCTGGTGGAGAACCCTTCTTCCAGCTTTTGATGGCTCCTGGCATTCCTGGAAATTATG